CCTAGTGCGAAGGGTGACCAGGCGGGACGCCTAATCACTGAAGCACCAGGACAATCGGAGTTGCAGACGGCGCAACAAGAGGACGAGATCCTCAGTGTCATGCGGAACGCCTGTCTGGGCAGTCGGGAACCACCGCCCGATCACTCTCTCGCCGAGTGGGAGCTACTGCGTGGGAGCTGGACGCAGCTCGAAGTGCGGGAGGGCGTTCTCGGCATGAGGACGAAGTGGGGCTTCCGGGCCCTGGTCCCCGATTCGATGCGATCAAGAATCATGACGCTCGCCCATGACCATCCGACGTCCGCACACTTGGGACGGAGTCGAACAACGGAAAGAGTGCGACAGCGCTTCCTCTGGCCCGGCATGTTCGCGGACATCCGTCGGTACTGCAGCACGTGTGACCTTTGCCAACGGCGCCATCGCCCTGCACCGAAGAAACGGGCTCCTCTGGTGACGGAGGTCACGAGTCAACCATTCCGCAGAATCGCTATTGACATCACTGAGATGCCGGTGTCGAAGAATGGCAACCGATATGCAGTAGTCATCATGGACTATTTTTCTAAATACGTCCGAGTGTACCCAGTCAGACGGCAGGATGCCGAAACCGTAACCACGGTGCTGTTGGATTGGGTTTACGACATGGGGGTGCCAGACAGGATTCACTCGGACCAAGGAGGCCAATTTGAGTCTGCATTGTTCCAGGGCATGTGCAAGCGACTGGGCATCCAGAAAACGCGTACAACGCCCTATCACCCTGAGAGTGATGGTATGGTAGAGCGTTTTATGAGAACACTCAAGGACATGGTCGCCAAATACGTTGACCCTCAAGGAGCGAACTGGGACGCTGACATCAAGGCGTACTGCATGGCTTACAACACCTCTGTGCACAGCGTCACCGGATATTCCCCGTTCTTTCTGCTGCACGGATTCCACCCGAAAACGCCACTCGACGCGGTCATCAACCCTCCAGATCGGGCGGTAAATATCCGGTGCTACCTTGAAGAGCGTCTAAAGGCCATTTCAGAGGCTTATCAGACGACTATCAGGAAAACCCGGGCCAGTGCTACGGAGGCTGCGACCCGATTCAACCAGCGCGCGAGCGGAAAAGGGTTCGCGGCTGGTGACCGGGTATGGATTCGGGATAATAGGGTCTCGGTCGGCGGGAAGCCGAAGCTGGGACTGTACTACAAAGGCCCGGGCACCATCATCGGCCGCCTCGGAGGAGAGAGAGGAGTAACGTACCTCGTCCGTGACGACAAGGGCAAGGAAAAGGCTCTGCACTTCAACCAGCTAAAGCCAGCTGTGGAACGGGAGTCCCACAAACAGGAAACGTCTGGAAGCACCCGGAGGGACGACGCGTCGGACACAGCCACAGAAACGCGTCCCAGGAAGCAGACGGGGTCCGAGGAGACTGGACCGGATCCACTGGCGTTGTACTACCTCTGCCGGCGGGCCCGAGATCAGGTGGGGAATGGGGGTACATCTGTGCGGGGCGCGTATGTGACCAGGTCTGGCAGAGTGTCGCTCCCCCCAGATCGTTTTCAATGCTAGGCCTCGGATGCTCTCGATGTGCATCACCAGTGTCTGAATCAGTTTGTATTTCCGGTCGCGTAGTGTGTCGCGTTTCTTTGTTACTTGACCAAGTGGAAACGTTTCTTTTATGGGGGGAGGAGTGTTGGGATATTGTGACCGCGGACCGGCCGTGTGGGGCCGTGGAACAGGGCGGGGTCGGCGGCCCGGCCGTCCGGCCGGCGAGCCGCCTGACCGCCGCGCGGTCATCGCGCATGCGCTCTGTGCCGTGGTTATATAAGGGCGCGACCGTGACCAGACTGGGTCAGTCGGCGGGTCGCCGTGTCCGTGCTTGGTCTTCGGTCGCTGGAAGCACAATACACCGTGTCGTGGTATATGCAGCTTTACTTGGCCCTAACAGTAGTAGGTGGCAACCGCCCCTGACAGCTTCGCAACATGTTACGAGGGCACCAAAACTACTTCGTAAATGTTCATATGGCTGCTAAATTCGAATTCATCTACTAAAACTGGCCTAGAAACATGTAAAACTCGAAAAAGTGAACCGAGGTCATCAAAGGTAAATGACCTAACCTGACTTTCTGGTGACCTTGACATCCACCCTAATGCATGGAAGCAACATCATATCCCATGTTTGAACGCTTAAAACCACGAAAAGACTGCAAACGCGCCGCTAATGCGAGCCGACATACGCCGAATCGCGATTCCGGCCAAACATGGTCTCGAAAAGTAGGTCGCAGGTCAAAGGTCATTAAGGTCAGGGTCATGACAATTTCAGGGTGGGTGTAAAATTGATTAACGCGAGGGTACTGAAAGTATCGTCGCGATCAGCCGCTTTTTACGCGAGTTATTCGCGAAAAACCGAGGGAGGGGGTCCGTTCGACCCCCCCCCCCCCTCCCTCTATGCGGGCGAGGGTTAAGTTGATCTCACCCGAAGAAAAAGTATACCATTCGACACGCCTGAGCTAGACAAACACGATGCTGCTAAAATCGCGGATCTACGACCATTTTTAGCGAAGTTATTTACCAAAAACCGAACTTGTGCCTTGGGCCACATGACCTGACCTCCGAAGTCATCGGCTGACCCTGGTCCTTAAATCGGAGACCAATCGCTGCATTTCGTAACGACGCACACGATCGTTTCTTTCGTGAGGCTCTAGCTCAATTAGGGGCGAATCGGCGAAGGGGGTTGTTTCCTCACTTCCAACCCCCATCGCCCCCTCGGTATTCAGAAAACCTGAAGGTCCGGTGAGGGTTAAAACGTTTCTCCTGAACGAGGAAGAATATATATTACTGACCGGGCCGACGAAATTATTTGGAAACGAGGTTTGCAAAATTGACGTAGGCCCGAGTGCGAAGCACGAGGGCCGGAGTCAAATTTTGCAAGCCGAGTTTCCAAATAATTTCGTACGGCTGAGGTCAGTAAGATTTTTCCTACATGCCGCATACCTGCTAGGTTAGTTTCGACAGGTTTTGGTGACACTTTTATGCAATTGTTTTGTCCATATTTTCCTAACAGTGATTGCGCTACTGCTGTGGATAAAGCCTTAAAGGAAATTTATAGAAGAAAATGCATCAAAATACCTTACTTCAAAAAGAATCACGTCTGAAAATATCATCTCAGAATGGCACAACAAATGGATATCCAAGAAACATAATACTTGAATGATTTGCCACGACATAAGAACAAGAAGAAGGTATAATATTCCTAGTGATTAAACGTGAATTTTCCCAGTGCTCTTGCAAGAATCTTTGCTTTATTTATTTAATCGTAGGTACTTTGTTGATATGCCCTATGGCTAAACGTTCGTTAAATACATAATATTTTCCATGTTTAACATGTTTGTTTCGAGGAAAGGACTACAACTGCCAAACAAAAACGCATTAACTCAGGCCCAAGGCATCAGTGGACATATCAAACGAAGATAAGACAACAAGCGATAACGGATTTCGATTAATAGGTGCATATCTTACCATAATTTCGGCTTTGTAACCATTACAAAATATTTCAAAACCGTTGATAAGCAGAGCAGATATTTACCAAAAAATATTAGTTTTCTAAATTTACGCGGCAAATATCATGCAATAATGATGTCAATTATACATTCCCTGTCAATTATACCTCTGGGCTAATGCGATAAACAATAGTTTAGACGTCATTGCCCTGGGCAGTAAACTCGGGCAGTAAACTTTTGTCTCCTGCCCGGCCTATCAAATAACATGGCATTTTGACACCGACAGTTTCTTGGTCATAGTTTTACTGCCCGGCTCGTGCTGTGCTTAAGACATACCCCGGCATGTAGGAAATGTAAAATCAAAGCTCTATAGACGTCCTGTAAAAGTGGCCATAATAATAAATTCGTTAGAAATAAGATGCTTTTTAAACGACTTCCTCATATAAAATCGGGTGCTGGGACGAATCTTATAAACGCTTTAGAATGGACAGGGCGTCACTGGCTAAAGTTTGGGTGCATAAAACGGCTATTACCTAAATGCAAAATGGTTTTCATGCATTTCAGTCAATTGTATATTGTCGGTCCCAGTGGCCGAGCTAAAAAAAAATCGGTAGTGTTTTGCATCTTTTACGCCCTAAGAAACTACACCATCTATCGAAGTGGGCGGGCTTATTTGAATGGGAGGGCGCATTATGCACGAATCGTGTGCTTTCGTTTGTTTTGGACTGCATTTTACCACATCCACTGCTGGTATCACTATTAATATTATCTAATGCCGTGAATACGACATCATTCCATTTATAAGATTGGGCCAATGGAGTCGCGCCCCGCGAGCTCGGTTTTCCGCTGGGCCGCTACTGGCCAGGAAGTCGGTCTTCGCCTGAGGGCAGGACAAAGGTCAGCGAGGGAGCGCGGGATCAGCCAGGTATAGCCCAGTGCCGAGCGGATGCCGCTCCCTCCCCTCTCTTCCCCTCTTCTCCCCTCCCCACCTCGGTATAGATGGGGAGGGACCGAACTGCCAATGACATGCGAGCGGTCAAGGCCGCTCGCGCGGCAGCGACCCTGGCGGCCGGGTGCCGCAACTGGGATTCAGCCAAGTTACCGATTCGCCTCCTGTGGGAGAGCCAAACCAGGGGACATACTTTTTAGATATACTGTACACTGTACACATCTGTTGATAGTATATAAGACCATTCACGGGGATCACGTTCAAGGGCATTTACCGTAACAGACGGTGCGAGAAGGAATGTACAGGAAACAGCACTACATAGTGGGTCTGGATGGGACACGTCTAGTGTTGTTAATTCACGCTGCACTTATGCGCTGCAACCAATAGTTGTTTTCCAATAGAAAAAAAAACAATTCCAACGGAAAGTGTTTCTCTATTTCAAACAACCTGCGGCTATCATAGGACCATGTTAACATTTCATCGTTGTCAAACGTACACATAAGTTAGGCGTTTCTAGTCCTTCATTCTATCAAGGTTAACTGACAACGCTGGGTCACGTGCTATGTTTGCAGGCGACTGGCTGTCTGTTCGACCACCTCCGCTGGGGCGACGCCTTCCTGGTGGTGTACTCCGTGTGTGAGAGGTCCAGCTTCCAGGCGGCCCGCGGATTCCTGGAGACCCTCAGCCAGGAGAAACTGCCGGGCTACTTCACCACCGTCCTTCTGGGCAACAAGCGCGACATCGAGCACGCCAGGTGAGCTCCGCTGGTCAGCTGGCTGTCCCACGGGACCGGGACCACGGCACTGGGTGAAGGCATCAGGGACGACGCAGACCGGTATACGACAATGGCAGACCTTGCGCCGTCCGGAATACAGCGGCTGCTGCAAGTCAGAGGACCGTCATCATTGTTGGCATTTTTCAACGTCCAGTCGCTGTCGGTTCCGCGTACACCGCGGGTGACGCGCCGCACCTGTTCGGGGGTGGCTTCCTTCCGCATACATGACATGTGTCCGGGTGGCTGACATGGAGCCGCCAGTGGCTGCCGGTGCCGTCTCTGTAGTGGTGTCACTACACTGCATACACTGGACAGGGGGTTTCCGTGAGCCGCCATCGCCATGACCTGTGACTGGAGTCCCCACTGTCACCGGTAGTGACTCGTGGGTCCCTTCTGCCATCCCGCCGTCATGACCTGTGACCGGTGACGGTCCACCCCACCGGGTGGTGGTCCGTGCCGTCTGTAAATCACCCCAGTCCGTCCGGTGGATGCCCGGGTGGCTCCCTCAGCCTGCCAGACGCGCCGGTACTGAGACCATTGTTATTCTGACCGGGCGGCGGCCTCTGCGCCGAGATGTGAGGGAGCCGGGGAACGGGCTCAATACCGCACAAATGAGCCTACCGACCACTATCGCAACGAAGGTGACCGGTGGGGCAGTTACCGCTGTGATACATGGCAAGATGCGGATTGTGGCATGAGAAAGATCGTGTTTGTCGGACTGATAGAAAGGCAATTAATGAGCTTTCCATTCAAAAGTGGGCCAGATAACCCTTTCTCGTAGTCAAGGACCCGGACGTTGTTGGTATACACCTACGTCAACACAACAAGATTAAGGCACATTTTATGGTTTCAAAGCGTTGCAGCAGCCTCCACTCAAGGTCTCAAACTCATTTTGCGGAATACTATCTTTCAATAAGTAATCATTAATAGGTTAAACAGTTCAAAGGCCTACTAAAATGCCTGAAATGAAGTCAAAAGCGCAATTTTGGTTGAAATAATGTCACTTTTAAAAGGCAGAGAACAAAGAAGTTTCATCTTTCCTGTATGGGAGCGGAGATTCCAATATTAAACGGAAATTAAGTTCAAGAGCACATGCATTGCTGTAAGATATCAAAAATCATTTGCATTGTTTGTGGTTGTGCCCCTCCTAAGCACAAAAATCCCCCGTTGACACACCCTCTCTCCATTTCAGGCAAGTGGACACGGAGGACGGGCACGAGCTGTCGCTGGCGTACGGCTGTCCGTTCTACGAGGTGTCAGCGGCCGAGAGCGCAACAGGCGTCGCCCTGGCCTTCCACACCCTGCTGAAGGAGGCACGCAGCCTGCAGCTGCTCAAAATGCTGCCCATCCGTCGCCGGTCCGGCGTCAACAGCGTTTCCAAAGTCCTCGGCAACATCTTCGGCAAGAACGGCAAGTACAAGAAGAAGAGGCCCTCGCTCAGTATTTAAAAACAGTGTGGAGTGTCAATGTATGTAATTTGCGCTGTTGGAACTGTGTTCGCTTATGATGTGAATTGGATTAACTGCCAAGCTACTTTTGTGGCATGTTTTAACTGATGTTAGATATGTGGCTTTAGGATAGGCGTTCAGAGAAGGGTCTACTACACTTTGAGTGATGCCATTGTTCTGTTAAACAGTACAATACTGTTGAAACTGCCTTGTTCTGCCTTTTGAGTCGTATAGAATATCTAAGGATGTTCGCATGAGATTTAAGCAATGACCTTTGTTCTGAGACATTGACAAGTGTGAAGAATGAAATGTATAGAATCCATATAATTTTTTCAGCGCTTTTGATGGGAATCCGAGAGGGAGCCTAAACGTTGCTTTTTTTATAGTCACTTTCCTCGTACTTCTACCTAAATGCTCGAAGATTTTTTTTTAGCTTGACTTCATTTCAAGCATCAGTGGTCTCCATCAAAAGTCTTTATCATTCCAGCCTTCAATCAAAGCCCGAAGACCCACTTTGCGTCACGATCTAACTGAGCTCATGCCCACATTAAGAGCCAAGCCTCTTCGAGACACATCCGCAATGGCGGAATGGGAACTGTCGCAGTAACGATGACGGACTCGGCGACTCCGAAGACGGATGACGATGACGAGGCGGAACTCAATTTCAGCTGAGTAGTCTTCTCGTGACACAGCCGCAAAATGTCGTACGGAGCAGTGCGCGTCGTGACTCGCATTCCTGAAAATGCCGACCGTAAAGCACCTTTATTGGGCATCATCGTGCAAACGATCATCCAGCGTTTTTATCCTCGATAGCTTCCACACCTTGAAAAAAACTTCGTTCCGTTCCCTCACCTCCCAAGCCAGCAGTCGACGTCGTTCTACGTATTCCTTTTCCCAGGGCCTACTCCGCCAACTGAAAGGAAGGCCTCTGCGGTACACCATCTTCCCATCAGTCATCGGACGTGACCTAGCATGAATAGCTGTGTCCTCTGTTGAACCTCCATGCTCCCCATTCTACCCATCTTCTGCTGCCCTCCTCTGCACAGGAGACACAGGTCCCTGTCCCTCGATATGGCTCCATCTCCTTATCGAGCCTTTGCCTACTGTCCCCTTGCAGAGCTGATGACGTCAGTGGTTTCAGAAGGTAAAGAACGGCGCTCCGGCGGACGGGTAATGTGCCATTGCTGACAGGTGGCTGCGCTTATATGGTCGCCGGGGGACCGGAGGTGGGTGGGGTGATGGGCCGGCCCGGCATCCACTGCAGAGGCTCAGTGAGATGGAGCTGCACTCTGCAGAGCACAGTTCACAGCGGGATGAGACGGGGGCAGTGAGCCGGCCAGCGGCGGGGATAACTCACCCCAGCGATCGGCACGTGAAATTCACGTGGTGGGTAAATCAGCTACTGAGAGAGGGGCGTTGGCAATAGAAATGGACTTGTTCAGTTTTCAGTGGTCGTACTATGTCGACGGACAGAGAATCAGAAAACAAGCCCACAAAGAAGAAAAATATTTGTAAAAGCAGTCAGAAGCATGTAGTTATCAGAAGCGAGCTTTATTTTACGTTCCACGGGAGAAGAACCAGTCGACCACTAAGCGACTGACAATACACATTGCACATTGCACATTGCACACTACAGCTGCCAGCGTCAGTCGCATGCGTCACGAGCCAGACGATTATCCGCTCTCAGAGAGCTGGAGCTAGCCACGTGCAGTCATTATGCAGTCTCTTATTGGGACGGTGTCTCATCGCAAATTCATATTCTGCTTCCTGGGCCGTATAACTGGACTGTCTCAGCATTAGCACTCACTGTCGCTCCTTACATCAGATACGCCCTATCCACTCTTTCAGACCAATGTCAGAGAGCTGCATAATCTCCCCGCACAGTCGGTCACTGAGGCAGAGTCGCACACCCGCCCTCAGAACGCACGGCGCACGCAGCGAGCGTGTCACTGTGTCACTCAGACTGACACCGAGTGACACGGGTGACACTGAGCGCGGGCAGCACCGCTCGGGATACCGGCCTGTCCCCACGGACCCCCGCCGAGCGCGCTATATGTATGTCCGTGCACAATGTGACCGGGTTAGAGTGGAGGTGCTCAGCACACAGAGAGGAACACCGGCCTGCATGCATCTGGTTATTCTCGTGTGTTGTCAAAAGATTCCAGGCCACCCACATCGGGGTCCGTTAGTGGCCCGAATACAAACGAGAGTCAGCTCTACAAACGTGTTGCATTGTATGAGAATTTGTAGGTGTTTCTACTGGCTTACTGAGTGTTCCCACTACATATGAAAGCCAAGGAACGATGATGACTGACAGCTTAATCGACAATGTCAATTGGACCAAATCTCGTTGATTCGCCCCATGGAAAGCGAATGGGTAGAGGTAAGAAGACATTGACAAACAAATAACCGAAACGATTTTCGTTCATGCCATTCATCGTACGAGACTCAAATGAAAAGCGGGTGGAAGGAAACAGCACGGCAATCCACTAACTTGCATTCTGATATATTCCCATGGGCAAAGTCCATATGAAAACTACGTCATCGCTTCAATATTCACGGAGACGCCATGAGCTTAGCTGCATCCCGTTGCATATTTACTCAGCAGCAATAAACAAAGCCCTCAGTGTAGCGTGACTCCGGCAGGTCAGACCCAGAAAAGGCACCGGAAAGGTCGAAACCAGGGTGGTTGGCCGCATCCATCTACCAAATGGAGCTATACGTTCCGGCAGAACACCAGTTAACGGTGGTTTATACCTATCCCCTGGGCTCAGTCCGGAGTGTAATCTGTCTCAGCGAGCGGTATTCTGCGCTCTTGTTGCACATAATCCCCAGACACGCTAATGGTGCTCCAAATGAGCCCTAACGACGTGGGTTTGACCTCATCGCTAATGCACGCTGCATGGCGCAGCAAACAGTCGTTAGGTTTATCAAAGACTGTCAATTTAGATCTCACTCGGTCACTGCGCAGTGTTCAACGCAGTGATCTGCGCCGTCTGGAGGCTCCTGAGCCGGGGTGACCCCGCTGCTGCCGGACCGGTCCGCCCTCGTGTCGTAGGGTGGAGTCCGCCGCACCGCTGCCACTCCCGGCCATTGAATGGATAGTATGGCGCACAGGGTCCGGTTCTGGCGGCGCTGAGGTACGGTCGCCCGAACCGCCGCGCCGCGCGAGCACCCCACTGCAGCACGTAATGGCGACCTTCGACTACCCACACGCAGTCCCAGCAGCTGAGAGAGAGGCTCACTTATAGAGGAGGGTGACACGGTACTTCGGCAGGAGTATCAGGCGCAGCTGAGGCAGGAGGGAATGAAACTCTTCTGGGCGGACATTCATTAGCCAGTGGTTAGGTTTTTTAGACATTCTGAAGTTGCATTTAGTCGAGTACCTACAAAGAACTATAAAGGGATTACGTTTTTCTCTAATGCAAGCATTGCGCATAACTAGGAACTCATGACTGGAAGGTAAAATATGCCAGGGAGGAGCGTATAATTGTTATGCTCTAATACCGATCCAAAGGCGTTTTCATTGCAGATTAGCTGCACCCTGAGAAAAGGGACCTAAATATGGGCGGTGATTACACATCGGCCTGTCAGTTTCGAGAGATTTACAACACACTACAGTCATGATCCTCAATTCTATGATGATCGGAGCAGGCAACGGTCAGGAAAGAAGTGCGGCTATTGAGTTAAAGTGACTCGCCCACTTTACAGCAGGGTTCTATGTCTTCAAATTGCTCGGGAAACGCTGGCAAGACCCGTGTTAGTCTAATTTCTTACCTGAAATGTATGTTCCACGAAGAATAAGTCAATGAGACATACCTAAGTAGACCACGGTATGCAAGTTGCGCAATCACATAGGTACGCCCGAAAAACTTCACCCGAGCGCATCACTTGCATTCAGTGTCTTATGCCATCGTCAGATATTCCGTTTCTAAATAGAATGTTTAGGTTGAGCAATAAAGCAAAGCTTTCACACCCCATAAAATGTTAACGACGCAGCTCAGACGCCATAAATGTGTGTTGTGATTGCCTGTTTAAGTGTTTGGCCATCAATCCAAGTTGTGAAGATATAGCCGTAAAGAAAGCATATTCACCAGCATATTAATGAGTAACAAATTCTAGGGCGGTTTTACTGCGGTTTCATCAGAATCTATTTAGGATCATATTGTTCTGCTGCGCTCTTCGTACGTAGCCATGAAAACCAATTGCCTTCTCGGATACCAATGACAAACAGGTTATGACAGAAGCAAACATTGAGCCGCAATGTCACAGCAGCTGGAACGGAATTCGCCCTGGTTAACTGTAGTGAGTTCGCAATCAGCTTATGGCCCCTGCAGCACTGCAGATAATATAAACGTCACCTACATATGTAAACAATACCAGAAAACATTCAAAACACCAAACACTTAATACCACCCAATATCATGTTTTAACATTGCGAGCTGTCCACTGACATCCATGATCCATACCATTTCACTGTGGTATCGTATGGTATATTAAACTCCATCCGTGCGCGCACAGCTGTTCGGAAGTTTGCGTCATACAATAAATGCACACTGCACATACACACAATAAGACAAACTGAGGCGTTCTAGATAAACACTCGATGATAAATCATACCTACAGATATCACACACCTAAGCACTGTTTCCACTCTGTTGCACCTCTCCCAACCTGACCATGAACTGCCCTCTCGAAGTGCACTGTGTTACAGTAGGCGGGAGCGTGTTCCACGCTGTCGCGGCTCGGTTTATCATTTTGCTGCTGCTATCATTTTGCTGAACATGCTGCGCATCGTGTTTGGAGCATACTGGTCATTGAGCGCGTTAAACACCTTGATACAGTCCCGCTCGAAAATCATGCCTTCGATGTTCTGCCACCCCAGAGACCGCAAGACAGGGGTGATGTGCTCAGTTTTTCGCGTGCCAGTCACCACACGGGCCGCGAAATTGATTACTTTTTGTATGCGCTTCCGTTGCTCACCAGAGGCACTTGCCCAGACAGGTAAGCAGAACAGAATGTGACTGAAAACGTGAGCACGAATGATGGTGAGCAGAGCTGCAGTTGAAAAATGGCGACGGAACCGGTAAAGAGATATAAGGGTTGCTGTGCATCGGCGTACCACGCGAGTCACGTGACTGTCCCATCTGATACACTGGTCGATGACTACGCCTAGAACCTTGATGTGCTCGGACGGCTTGAACTGATGGCCAGACATCTCGAAGTAGAAAGTTGCGTTTTCTCTCACGGCCTGTCTCGTGCCTATGAGAGTAAACTCGGTTTTTGTAGGGTTCATTTTCAACGAGTTCACTGCAAGCCACTTTTGGATGGACATGATG